AGCATTGATGGGGGCCGGGGGAGGGGAAGGGAGGAAGAGAAGAATTGTCATGTGGTTGGATGAGTTATAGATGTGCTGAGAGTGAGCTCAGAGTTTCCAGGTGAACTTCCAGGGAAACAACATGTGCAAAGGAAAAAAAAAAAAAAAAGCACTGGATCTGAAGTTAGGAAGCCTGAGTTTAAGTCCCATATAAGATACAAGTCACTGACATCACTTTTTAAAAAACTGATTTTTAGAGAGAAAAGAAGAGAGTAGGAGAGAGAAACATTGACGTGAGAGTGTAACATTGATTGACTGCCTCCTGCACATACCCCAACTGCAGATCAAACTGCAACCTGGGCATGTGCCCTGACCAGGAATCCAACCAGCAACCTTTCGTTGGAGGGATGATGCCCAACCAACTGAACCACACCAGCCAGGGCATTTGAGCAAGTTATTTAAAACCTCTAAGCCCATTTTCTTTCTTTCTTTTTTTAAAATATATTTTATTGATTTTTTACAGAGAGGAAGGGAGAGGGATAGAGAGTTTGAAACATCGATGAGAGAGAAACATCGATCAGCTGCCTCCTGCACACCCCCGACTGGGGATGTGCCCGCAACCAAGGTACATGCCCTTGACCGGAATCGAACCTGGGACCCTTGAGTCCGCAGGCCGACGCTCTATCCACTGAGCCAAACCGGTCAGGGCCATTTTCTTATCTGTAAAATGAAATCAATGAAACCTGCAACTTTTGGTATGAATGATTTACATGTGTTGAAAGAGACAAAACAGCCTGACCAGTGTGTTCAGTGGTTAGAACATCAGCCTGCATACCAAAGGGTCTCGGGTTTGATTCCCATCAAGGACATGTGCCTGAGTTGCAGGGTCGATGGTTCTTGTTGGGGCACATGTGAGAGGCAACCAATCGGTATGTCTTTTTCACATCGATGTTTCTCTTTTCTCTATCTCCCTTCTACTCTCTTAAAAAAAAACAACAACAATAGGAAAAAATATCCTTGGGTGAGGATTAACAAAAGAAAGGAAGAAAGAGAGAGAGAGAGAGAGAGAGAGAGAGAGAGAGAGAAGGAAAGAAAGAAAGAAGGAAAGAAAGAAAAGAGAGAAAGAAAGAAAGAAAGAAAGAAAGAAAGAAAGAAAGGAAGGAAGAAAGGAAGGAAGAAAGGAAAGGAAGGGAGAAAGAGAGATACAGCAAATAAATACTTGCCAAGATGACCATGACCATGGCACTTGGGATAGCTTTAGCACTATTCTTTCTCTCTTAGAAATTCTCTCAAAAGAATTCAATCCTCCCATGTCTCAGTCTAAAACATTGGCTTAGTGATGGCCCAGAGATCCTTATTGACTTATCATCAGAATTTCCACTACCAAGGTATCTACATGAGATACATTTGATTAGCTGAGAGGCTCCTGAAGTAAAAAAGGAGCTTGAAGGTCTGTGTGGGCATAAGCGATTATGACCAGAGAAGGAGACCTCTGGATACAATGGAAAGAAGACCGGAGACTAAAGATCTGGTTTTTCCTAACCAGTGTGGCTCAGTGGATAGAGCGTCGGCCTGGGGACTGAAGGGTCCCAGGTTCGATTCCGGTCAAGGGCAGGTAGCTGGCTTGCAGGCACATCCCCAGTAGGGGGGTGTTCAGGAGGCAGCTTGTTGATATTTCTAACTCTATCCCTCTCCCTTCCTCTCTGTAAAAAAAAAAATCAATAAAATATATTTTAAAAAAAAAATAAATAAAGATCTGGTTTTAGTTCTGATTCCATCACTCACTTGTCATGTGAACTTGGTGCAGGTTATCTTAAGAAATGGAGCTTATGAATTTTGTTTGCTATTCTCATTTGGTTGTGAGAAATAAAACATGTCATATAGGTGTAAAAATGCTCTGTAAGCTCAAAGGTGTCACATTATAACAGAGACATCAGGTTTTAGGAAATGGGAAGGGTGCTGGACTCATAGAATTACTTATATTCTGATATCCACATAGACCAGAATAAAAAGTGCTCTGGATACAAGACTTCTGCTACTATACCTAATGGTCACTGGACACCTTTTCCTTTGAATTCTCTACAAACCAGAATTTGCTGGTACCTCAGCTGGCCTTGGCCCATTTTAGAACGCTTCGCTTGACCTCTCTAACAAAGCCGCTGTAATTTTGGAGAAGAGCCTTTATGGTTTGACCTGCCATCTTTGTGGTTTGACCTGACTCTGGCATTCTTGATAAGCTAAAAACATGATAGAAATTCTTTTTTCTCATCAAGTGTGATTTCTACAATGTGACCCTGGGCCATTCTGAGTCAGGTGGCAGGGCTAAAGTGGGAGAGCAAAAGGCAGTGAAAATCATCAGAACGACCAGTGAGTGTCCAGTTAACTTGACACGACAAAGAACAGACATTGGTGGTATTATTATGCCACCAAAATTTGTCACCATGAATACCTCCACCCGCATGCTTATCTCTGGACCTGAGGAGGATGACAGCTAGGACTGAGCATGGAATTTGAGTCTCAGAAGTCCAGATCCTCTGCTGCTGTGAAATCACTAGGAGTCAAAAAAGGATTTGGAGCAAGCAGTCTGAACACAGGATCTGGGTGTGAGGGGTATCTTAGTGCTGAGGAGGCAACCACAACAGGAAAGAGAAGAAAAGAGGGAAAGAGTAGAGCCACAAGAAATGATCTGTTCAAGGCTCCCCCTGAGTGCTGCTTCGGCTGCTCTGCGCTCACTTCGAGCTCAGGACTCCTGTTAAGCCAGTGTCCCAGTTTCCATCATCTACCGGTACCTCACCAGCTGTGATGAGATGTTCTCTGACATCTACAAGATCTGGGAGATCAAAAATAGGCTGTGTCTGAAAGTGGAGGGGGAAATGGTCAGTAGGACAGAGGGTAACATGGATGACTCACCCATGGGTGGAAATGCCTCCACTTTACCCAAGGGTGAAGGTACTGAAAGCACAGTCATCACTGGTGTTGATCTTGTCAAGAACCATCATTTGCAGGAAATCAACTTCACAAAAAACCAGCTTACATGAACTATATAAAAGATTACATGAAATCCATCAAAGGGACACTTGAAGAACAGAGACCAGAAAGAGCAAAGTCTTTCCAGGGGCTTCAGAACAAATCAAGCACATCCTTGCTAATTTCAAAAACTACCAGTGCTGTGGCTCAGTGGTTGAGCGTTGACCTATGAACCAGAGGTCATGATTCAATTCCTGGTCAGGGCACATGCCTGGGTTGAGGGCTTGATCCCCAGAAGGGGGCATGCAGGAAGCAGCCGATCAATGATTCTCATCATTGATGTTTCTATCTCTCTCTCCCTCTCCCTTGCTCTCTCTGAAATCAATAAACAAACAAAAAACTACTAGTGCTTGATTGGTGAAAACTTGAATCCACATGGCATGGTTGCTCTGCTGGACCACCATGAGGATGGTGTGATTCCATATATGATTTTCTTTAAGGATGGTTTAGCAATGGAACATGTTAACAAATTTGGCAATTTGGATCTATCATCTGTCATCTTATCTGGCTGCTGCTTTTCATCTGTACACCTGGACTAGGACAAATGGACTGATGTTACCTTGAGATCTTCATTTCTTTTGACCTTGATTTATTTGTAGTGGAGCCATTGTTTTTAAGAAAAATATGTCATGTAGTTTGTCTAAAAAGAAAATGCATTTAAACTAAAAAAAAAAAGGCTATAACAAGTGATGAGGAGGGCACAGAATTGGAAGATCTAAAGCAGGGCTCAAACTACTACGGCCCTCGGGCCACATGCAAATACAAATATTGTATTTGTTCCCGTTTTGTTTTTTTACTTCAAAATAAGATATGTGCAGTGTGCATAGGAATTTGTTCATAGTTTTTTTTTTTTTAACTATAGTCCGGCCCTCCAACAGTCTGAGGGACAGTGAACTGGCCCCCTGTTTAAAAAGTTTGAGGACCCCTGATTCTAAAGTGATCACTTTCCTTTTCTAAATTTCTTTGGAATTCACTTTTTGGACCAGAAACTCAGCCTTTAAAGTGTCAGATTTGTTTTTCTGTGGGATATATTTTCTCCTCAACTACTGCGGCATGTTCTGTTTTACATCTCCCCTAGTTTCCACATAAGAGATACTTCAAGGGTTTGGTTGATTGAAGTGATTGCATATGTTCTCTCAGCGGGGGCTAGTCTTGAGGCCTATTTCCATGACAAAATCGTGAAAGTGACTCAGCCTTATATCCAGTCATGCAGATTGGTATCCCCAATGAGAGAGAGAGACTCTATTTACAGGGACCCTGGTCACCTCCCACCTGCCTCAGCTAAGCTTGAGCATGCTGGCTGCTTCTGCCTTGGTCTTTTGGAGAGAAAAAGCATGGGAAGTGCACACAGCTGTGGTTTGGAACGTCACAGAGACATTTCCCTGGGGCTATTTATTATTAGAGAATTGTCCTTCAGGTTCACCTTTTGCTAAACAACTACACTGAAAGTTCTGGGGAATGTTCACTCCAAGTGCTACCTTCATCCTCAAACATTACTGAATGCCAAATGGGCCTTGTGCTATGAAGAGGAGCAGAGTTTGCCACCCCCAAATATGCTACTCTGGGATACTGATTATTTTAGGCTGGTTACTTTTAGGAAGGAGCACACCTGGGAGAAGTCTAAAAACCAAGTAAAAGTTATCCCCTTGGTGTCCCCTTCACTGTACCAGGCCTGCCCTCACTAACACGGGAGAAGGCATGGTCTTACATCTACTTAACAGTCTTACCCTTGCTTACTGTGCTTGTCCTGGTAACCTCCCTTAACTGACTCTCCACCCCCAACATCTTTATCTTTAGCTGAAGGTGACATTTAAAAGGCGGTGGCTTCCACCATTTTGGTTACTCAGCTTTCCTGGGTGTCTCCCATGTATACAAAAGGTATACAGATTATTCAACTTTAATGTCTTTTCTCCTGCTAATCTGTCTTGTGTTAATTTGGTCATTAGCTCAGCCAGAAGAACTTGAAGGGTAGAGAATAATTTTTTCTCCCAGACATGCTACATATTGAGGATGCAAAGTTCCCACTTTCGAACCTCACAGTGAATTGGGATAACAAGATTTACACTCAAAAGTGAGTCTGAAAAAGAAAGTGAGTCTGTACACATCACTGGGTGGGTCACTGTAAATTCTTCTAAAGCTCCAAGGAGGGTGGGATTGCTCAGGATTGGGCTGGTCCAACAAAGCTTCACAGAACCCAAAATGGAACTTGAAGAAAGGGTCAAACCTGACCAACTGGAAAAGAAAATGTGTTGAAAGGCAGTGAATAAGCTCATTATAGCTGAGGCAGGTTTCAGATGGTCACAAAGTTGTAAAAGGTTTTGGAAGACCTTGAATTCAGATTTACAGTTTGTGTTTTATTTATCTTTATGTATTTTTTATTGATTTAAGAGAGGAAGAGAAAGGGAGAGAGAGATAGAAACATTCATGATGAGAGAGAATCAATAATCGGCTGCCTCCTGCACACTCCACATTGGGGATTGGCCAGTGAGCCAGAAAGCCAGCAATCCGGGCATGTTCCCTGAGCGGGAATCAAACCATGACCTCCGGGTTCATAGGTCGATGCTCAACCACTGGGTCACGTCAGCCCTTTCCTAAGGATTTTAAGGGTGGAGAGTTTAGGGGCGGTCCCAAGGGGAAGATCTCAATAGAATATTCAGCAGTTTTCCAGGTGTGTCCTTTCAGGGTTGTGGTCTCCACTGATTGATTGGCCCAGCACCAGGGCAGGGGGTCATTATTCAATGCAGCTGGTCCTGATATCAGCTGGGGCTGGTTTTGTGTTGGGGTCCAGCCCCAGCAGGTCCAGGGGTTCCCAAAGGTGTGGACAGAGTCTCAAAGAAGGAATGACACAGAGACAGCATTCAGTTGATCAGCATAGGGAGGTTCTCCCTCTCTCTTTTTTTTTTTTTCCAGCCAGGTTCTGTTCTTTATTCTCCTGTTACATCTGTATTTATACCAGTTGATTTTAATCCTATCCATTCTATTCCAAAGGTTAGGGCGTTTGTTATCTCCATTCCAAGGTCACTACTCTATTGTTCTGTTAAGCTACAAGGAAGTAACTGAAGGAGATTATCCTAAGT